TGCACGGTAAATAGTACCTTAAACTTGCAAAGTGAAGGAAAGGGCTGCTGTTGGGTTTACCCCAGAAATTATTTCCTGTTGCTATTCCCAAAGGCTTCAAGTGAAAATGATCTGACTCTCTCACTTTGTTTTGTATGTATAGTACTGTATACATTATCCTGGCATACCAAACTGGGGTGTGTGTGTGTGTGTGTGTGTGTGTGTATGTGTGTGTTGAACCCAACACATGGCTCACAAGTACTATTAGCATGGTATTCGATGAAGAAGTTCATATAATTAAAACACAAACTTCAATTCAGTGGTTAGTGCGTGGTAACCACTCTTCTCTCCCTCTTCCCCTCCCGCGGCCATGACCTGCGGACTGTCGGCAGTGCTCCTGGGATGGCTGAGGATGGTAATGTGCCCCAAGCCCCACCCTCCCACCAGCGATCCCTTCCACAGAAGTCTGTAGTCTAGGTGATTTTTAGCTATCGGTTTCCTACTCATCTTTAGAACAATCCCCATCAACCACTTACAGAATCTGTTTTGATTTCAAGATATGAAGGGAGATTTTAGTTTCTTTACTCCATCCTCACCAACTGGTAACCCCACCTCATCATCCCCTAAAAAACGCCGAAGATTAAGAGAACTGGGTCTAGAGTCTCATTCAGATCACACCTATAGATTCAGAACCTAACGTGGCCACTCGGGAGATGTTTGCCTTTGAGCAAGTTTCTTAACTTCTCCATGTACCGTGTTCTTCCTCTATAAAACGGGGATGCCTGCCTCACGGGGTACATATTAGAGATGATACATGGGAAACACCGAACAAGATGCCTGGCATTGTAAGCCTGAATAATAGTGATAGTAACAACGGTATTCTTACTACTTTATTGCTTCTTCATTCCTTCAGCCTCTCTTCGGGTCTCTTTTCCCATCCTGTCTCCTGAGACCCCATATCTGGCAACATGCCTGTTATGCTGACTTAGAATCCTTATGATGCTAAGTGTGTAGCTGTTCCCCATAGTTTATATTATGTTAGTTTCTTATTTAAGCCAAGAAGTTACTTCAATACAGCATCATTTAATAAAAGCCTAACCTGCCCCCTACCTGGCAGAGATGATGGCAGCTTATTAAGATAATGTCTTTCTAGTACTTACAGCTCTTTGAAAGATGTGAACTAAATAAACAGCAGTGTTTGATTCTTGTGTTGTTTGTTTTAGTTCTTAATGCGCACTCTCTGAATTGTATTCATAGGTCCTCTGCCATGCTTCTAACAATATGGGCACGTGTTAAGTGCCACTGGATGCAGAATGGTCATGAAGGCTGCTGCTGTGTGCCTCTGCTTTGCTCCTGCCCTCCCCGCCCCCTCCTTCTCTCTGTTCAACCTGGAATCCTCCTCCTCCTCCTCCTAGGTGCGAGGACACTGCTTTTCAACCTTGCCTGCACATCAGAATCACTAGGGGAGCTTTTTAGTCCCCTTGATACTCAGACCATACCCTAGACCAATGAAATAAAGGTCTCCGGAAGTGGGACCCAGGCATCAGGGTCTACTAAAGTTTCCTAGATGATTCCAACGTGGCCCAGGCTGCCTTCTACACAGCCAACCAGACCCCGATCAAATGACACATGAGAATAGAAAATTAATATTTAATGTCTACTTCTACCCAGCTGTGAGTTCCTCAAGGTCCAGTACGATCTCTTGTTCTTTGTTCCCAGTGAATAACAGTACCTGGCAAAGAAGGAGCACTTCAGATGTGTTTCTTTTTCTGGCTGGAAGTATACCCTATCCAGCCCGAAGGATGTCCCCATGACTCTGGTTTCTATAACAGTTGATGTGAATACCTCTTAAATAATAATACTAATTACAGTGGTCTATCAGTTTGGTGGTTCAGATTCTCTGAGGTAAATAATTCTATTTAAGTGTAATTTTAGTGTTTAGCAGGGAAAACAGATTATTGTCATGTGTATGAAGACTGCTATCACCCGGGGGTGTACTAGGTACTGCATGGCAGTCCAGAGGAAGGCCTGGGATGGGATGCAGGGGTGTGGGGTAGAAAGGGCACAGGCCTTCCAGTCACCCAGGCGTGGGTTCAAATCTCCACTCTACTGTGTGACTGCAGGCACATGATTTCACCCCCCAGAGCTCTGGTCTCCATTTTGCGAACGGAGGGACGTGATACCTACTCCTGTGGTGGTTAGAGTCACTGAGAGCCACAGCGTAGGAAAGGAAATGCCGACTGCCCTAGTCAGCTCAGCAACCGCGACAAAAGACCACAGGCTGAGTGGTTAAACAACAGAATTTTTTTTCTCACAATTCTGGAAACTGGGAGGTCCAATATCAGGATGTCAACATCATTGGTTTCTGGTGAGAGCCCTCTTCCTGGCTTGTGAATGCCCACCTTTGCTGTGTCCTCACAGTGTAAGAGCAAGCTCTCTGGGGCCTCTTCTTATAAGGCCACTAATCCTGTCATACCAGGGCCCCACCCTAATGACCTCATTTAACCTTAAACATCTCCTTGTAGTACCTGTCTCCAAATATAGTCATGCTGGGGGCTAGGGCTCCAATGTATGTATTTGCTGGGGACACAATTCAGACCATAGCAGCAAGCACATATGAGTTCAATAATATTAATATTCTCTCTCAATAGATGGATAGATAGATAATCTATACATAGAAGAGCTATTTATCTCTATATCTCTGTCTGTCTATCTAATCTATCTATCTATCTATCTATCTATCTCAGTTTCTCTTGAGAGAATCAGAAAAGCTCAGGGAAGAGAAATCACAACTCGATGTTATCTTGTAGGATGAGTAGGGATGTCTTAGGTGAACAAAGGTATTCCAAGCAGAGGAAACAGCAGTTCAAGTCTTTTAAAAAAAGGCATAGCATATTTTGAGATTAGTGAAAACTTCACCAGTTCTCACCAGAACTTGCAGTTGGCAAGAGCAAGGTTCATGGTAGAAAAGACAAGAGATGTAGTTTGGGGATATATCATTAATAGTCAAGGCTACCAAGCTGAGATCCTGGGATTTTTCCCTTGGGTTAAAGGATTCCTGTGCCTGTAGTTATCTTTTAGCTCTTCTTTTCCCAGCTAACTTGTTGGATTCTTGAAGGAAAGGGTATTGCCAAATGTTATTTGGCAAATCCACCCCTGAGCCGAGCATACTGCCTTAAGAATGTAACGGGAATGAATTGCTCTATATAACCTTGGCATATAAGAGCTATCATGTCTTTTTCATTTGTTCAATTTGAATTAAAGCCGGCTGGAACCTCCTTCCTCTGTGTTGGCATGAAATACAGCATTACTCTCCAGGGTGGGGGTCAGCATGGGAACAGCTCTGCTTCTCCTTTGTCTGTCCACACTGCCTCCCTATCCACAGCAGTGTCTCCCTGGCTTATGCTGCTATGTTTGCTGGCTTGTGTCCCAGCACAGCAAGCTCCACTCCACTCTTTAAATGCTCTGTTCCGCCCTCAGGGGTAACCCTGGCTCCAGTCCTTAGCTCTTGGACCTTACAGAGACACAGAATTGTTACTTTCTAAAGCCATGTTCTCCACCTCTAGATGCTGTTCTGCTACTGGCTTGGCCGTCTGTCCCTTCCACCTTTAAATTCTCTCTGTCTCCTCTTGAGTCTTTGGATATTTTTGTTAATAATTTTCAAAGCACAAAGCTTCTATTTCTCTCCTTCACTTGGGCGATCTGAATTAATTGCATTGATGGGGCCTGACCTCTGAAACACAAATGCCTGTTGAAAAGAAAAGGCTGATTATTATATAATGAACTATATTCGGTTTACTAAATAGTTAACTTAAACATAAATATATGTATATATTTATGCTGAATAGATGTATAATTTATGCTAATGATAATTACAAATAATACAAAGACAAAATAACGCCACTGCAGCTCTGGCATTCATTACCAGTGCTTCGTTTTGCTTCTGCTCCACAGTCCGATACTGACAATCTGGCATGCCCAGGATGTGCGCTTGGTGTTGAGGGCCTAGAGGTGGCTACGATATCATCCTTGTCCTCAGAGAGATTAGACTTTAGTGGGTAAGTAAGACAGACACATGGTAATAGCTAAGGTAGTAGGAACACCTTTATTAAGGAACAATTAGGCTGACACCGTTGTTTTTTCATGACTCTGCTGAGCTTCCTTATTCGCTGTGCTGTTTCTGTGTTAACCTCGTGTCCAGCTTGTCCATATCTAGAACCTACGATGGCCTTTATTTCTTAAGTCAGTTCCTGGTGAAGTGGGACTATGCTATGTTGTGGAAACAAAATAACTCCCAAATCTCTGGATGAGGGGATTGACATACCAAAAGTTTGTTTTCTTCCTCATATGAAGCCCAGGATGATTCGAGAACACAGGCTGCTCCGTGTGGTCACTTGAGGATCAGAATCTCTGGGCTCTTTACTTCTTGTAAGGAGATGGTGATGCCACCATCTCAGCATGTGATGCAATGGACTTTCGCTACCCCGAAATGACACATGTTATTTTTGCTCACAGGCTAGTGAGTCAGAACTTGTAACAGAGCCTCAAACTAATTACAAGGAAGGCGGAGAAATACAGGCGAGCCTATGGATTGTTTGTTGCTGCCCCCAGAGTAGTGACTTTAGAGCAGCTTTGAAGAATTTGCATCCTGATTCTCTGTTAGTTACTTTTGGAGTCTCCAAGGGGAGGGCACAATAAGTAGCACCCCTCTTCCCTGCTGAGTTCTGAGCTTATTAGGCAATAAAGTAGAAGAATAAAGATGAAGGCCAGACTATCATCTACATTAATGACAGGTTGTAGGATGTTGCGTTATTCTGTTAGCCATGTGGTCCCATTGGTGGGATCCCAGGATTAGGCCAACTCCTGGACCAGGTAAAACTGATGGCATGGTAGAACAGAGGAGAACTCATGCCTTCTGCAAGACTGCTGGCTCCCAAGAGAGGAGGAGGAAAAGTGGGGATGAACAGAGTATGCCTACCAATTGGGTAAGTCATCTCACCTCTCTGGGAGTTATTATAAGTAAAGAAATTAGAAAAACACTAAATGAGCTCCTAAAGAAAGTGTGAAGGAAAGAGCTTCTCATTAACTCTAATTAGTTGTGTCATTCAGGTCAGTCTCTCTGACCCTCAATTGCTCATCAATAAAATGGCCATGATACTATCTTGCAGTTTCTCTTCTTGGGTCTTTTCCAAGTGCTAGGAGTTAAGAGATGTGATGGACTTATAATGGGGAAGAGTTCTTCAAATGCCTTCTATAAAATGCTCATGAATACTTGAGATGGAATTACTTAGAAGTTTATAAAACCACGTGGCTTTAAACACATTCCTCACCCCCAACGTGCCCATAATTTAAAAAATCTTCTGAGCTGATTCTCTCCAAAAACCTGCCCACTTATTACTCAACATGCATTTCTTCAACAAACCTCTAGGGTTGTTCCTGTTCCTAACAGTAAACGTCTGAAACTCGCCTTTTCCAGCAAAAGCAAAAGCTATCCATTTAATGTCTCTCCATAGAGGTTTCTGTTTTAACTCTTTCTTGACTGTTTCCATGTGGATTTGATTAACCCTAGAGAATGGAAAATACCCAAATAAAAATAGTCATTTTCAGAAAAGTGAACTTTCCATTTTCCTAGTGAAAGACTAATTAGTCTCTGGCTCAGAGAGTCTAAGGTTGAGTCTTCTCAGATAAGAAATTACTTTTTACAGATCTAAAAGATTTTTAAAAGTAGAAATATTTTAAATGAAAGTATTAAATTATACAATTACATGTGTAGACTCTGCCACTGAGGGAGTTATTTTCATGGTGTAAGCTGAATCCAGCATAAAAATATTTACTGCTCTGAAATGTCAATATGAAATAATCAGAATCTAAAATTAAATATTTACTGTATAATCAGCTTGCATTCATCCAGCCACAATGTTCCCTGAGAAACACTGATTACACTGACTTTGACCACCTGGGTTCTCCTAATATTTTCAGGCTTAGAGAAAAAGAAAAAACTGCCAAAGTTTCACTCACAGGCATTTTCTAACAATTTTTCAAGGAAAAAGCTTTGTGAAACAGGGAAATAAGCAATGATGGTGACTTTAGTAACTTCCAAATAACACACACCCCCAAAGAGCCACCTGACTGATCTCCTTCAGCTGTATTTCCTAGGTCCAACTTCAGTTCAGTAAGTCAGTAAATCTTCACTGATATTCATCAACTCTGTGACAAAAACTAAGCTAGGTAATAGAAATATGAATGTGCTCCGTGTTCTTGGGGAGCTTGAAATCTAGTGTGAGAGACAGATAAATAAGGAGCCAGAGACAGTGCATCATGATAAGTCCTAAGTTAAGAGTAAGCCTAGTGGCAGAGGATTGGAAGAGTCTTGAAGACGGCCATGAAGCCCACTCGAAGGTATTATTCCAAACTGAAGCTGAAGGCAGCTTTGTTTATTTTATTAATTTGTGTGCAATTGGAAGAATAAAATCCAGTTTCAACTTACTGTAAAGACCTCATTTTCAACATTTATTTTAAAACTTAACATTGAGTCTCCCGATTCAGTGATGGGGAGCAAGGCTGATTATAGGTGACAGCCTTATGAACATGCTAGAGATGACAAGAGATGACCCAGAAAGTCCTAGACTAGACAGCAAGGGGTCAAGGTTTAAGTTGTGTGATCTTGAGTTAAAAATAAATACTTTCTCATGGCTACTGTTTTATTACATGAGAAAGAAGGGAGCTGGACCAGTTGATCTCTTAGGTTCTGTCCATCTCTGAATACTTAGGATAGTAACTACAAAACATTCTCATTTTTAAGAAACAATAAAACAGATCCTAGAAATGCTCCAGCAGGGAAAGATGCCAGTCTAATTCATCTATCAGTCTAATACATATTTCATTCACTTATTCTACAATCAGTGAGGCAACCTAACAGGTCAAGAACGTGGGCTTTGGGGTCTGTCACAACTGGGTTTGAGTTCAAGCTTTGTCACTTTACTGGCTGTGAGGCAATGAGCAATTTATTTAACTCTTCATCTGTAAAATGAGGAGGTTAAAGCTAATCTGGTATAGAAGTTGTGAGAATTATATAAGATAATGAATGTAAGAGCTTAGCACAGTACCGGACACAAGAGAAATTCAATAAACAGTATCATTTTTAATGAATATGTCTGTGGGGTACACGCTGTCCAAGGTGCTGATGAAAAACCTAGTCCCTGCTTACGGTCTAGGAGAGATATATAAATCACCATATCTTATACAGATGAAAAGTATATAGTAGTGGCATAAATGAAGTCATATCAGAGCACAGAAGGAGCGGTATTGGCTTAGAGTGTGAGGCAGGGGTAGGATCTAGAGACAGCTATGCAGAAGAGGTAATATGTTAGCTGGATTTAATGTACAGGTGAGTTATCTAAGCAAGCAAGGCAAGAGAAGGCAAAGGAAGACGCATGATCATAGGCCTAATGGTGTATGTGATTAGAAAATAATGAGCAGTCTGACTAATCTATAGATGATACCAAGAATGCAACCTGGGGCCACTTTGTGAAAAGTCACATGAGAAAATCTGGGCTTCCAATAAATAGAAACTCATCAAATTGACTTACTGCATACTTATTTTTAAATTTTTTTAGACTTCAGGTCTTTTACTGAGTCACATTCCTTAGTACAGTTGGCCCTCTATATTCGTGGATTCCACATCCTCAGATTCAACTAATGGCAGATGAAAAATATTATTTTAAAAAATCCAGAAATTTCCAAAAAGAAAACTTGAATTTGTCACATGCCAGCAATTATTTACATAGCATTTACATTATATTAGTTATTATAAGTAATTTAGAGATGACTTGAAGTATGAGGGAGGATGAGCGTAAGTTATTTGCAAATACTGTACCATTTTATTTAAGGGAATTGAGCATCCTCTAATTTTCCTATCTAATGAGGAAGAAGGGATAGGTGTAACTGAAACTAACCCTTCATAGATACTGAGGGATGACTGTACTCTGTTGCCTCCTTGGTCTAAATCAGAGGTGGGCAAACAGCCTGCAGACCAAATCTGGTCTGAGGCTCGAGCTAACAATTTTTTTAAATGGTTACATTTTAAGTGGTTGTGCAAATAATGACATAATATACTTGATTTCACCCCTTGACCACAAAGTGTAAAACATATATTAATATTATTATTGTTATTGCTATTATTTGACCCTTAAAGAAAAATGTTGCTGACCACTAGTCTAAATGATTAATATTAAACTCATAATATTTTGATTAAAAGGCTACTATGTCCATTAAATTCTACAGATAGTTGCTTTGTTCCTATGGTGTGTCTGGAATTGTCTTTCTCCCTGAAAACATTCTTTCTTGCCCAGCCTCACTTTTGCACTAGGTAGCAGGCTCAGGATTCATCACTAGGATTCATCTTCCCTGTATTCTTTGTTTTTTTTTTTAGCATATACTTTATATTCTCTTTTGCATTATATGAAAATTATTAATTAAATTATGGGAGTTTTATGCTTTTCCACTTTTTCTTTTTCTTCCCGGCAGTTACCCAACAATCCTACTGGTATCTATTTTCTTGCCTGAAAATAAGAATTTCTGTCTTTTCTAAGTGTCCTATATTGCCATTTTGTGCAGGGTCTACATTAGCAGGACTGTAGATTATTGACCCATACAGAAGGAGGTACCAAAACAACAGTGGTGTAAACAAAGTAAAGCATATTTCTCCTCTTCACATAATAGTCCTTGGGTAACTGGTTGGAGCTGGAATGATGGCTCTGTTCCATAATGTGTTGCAGGGATCCAGACTTTTTCTGTCTTGTGGTTCCTCCGTCCTTACAGGTTGCCCTTTTCTGAATGGTGCAAGATGACTCACCACCACGCTGTGTTCCAAACACTTGGATCAAAGATGGTGAGAGCCTAATAATACCAACCTCGCGATCCTGTTACAAAATTATAGGCGTGGAATGCACCCGAGCAAGTGCTGCGGCTGTCTGTTACTACTGAGAAGCGGGTAATTGCAGAGGGTCTGGTGAAGTGCCAGTTATTTGGTATGTGCTGAATAAAAATAGTTCCAGTGGAGCTGAAATGCGAAATAAATATAAAGATGCATTTTTGATCTTCGTCATGATTCTGGGAGTATGACGGCTATTATCATAATGAGCATACCAGTATAGTTACACTTGAGAGGAATTTTTGTTTTGTTTTGTTTTGTTACGAGCCAAAGAGTGTCTGAAAGATTTCAATTCTAGCAAATTCTGAATTCCATGCATAACTCAATAGCAAGTTCTTCGAATCCCAGTACTTTCTTTCAGACTTTTTGCCTGTAGCCAAATCCTATTAAATATATTTCCATGTCATGTTGTGCTTAAATAATGTGGCAGGACAGGGCCTTAACTTAGAAAATGACACCCTTCCTCCAAGGAGGCTTCTATCACAATCATCTCATACAGAAATCATATCGTGTGTTTTGCCTCTGTGGAAACGGGCGACACTGTTAAAAATTTATTTTTGCTGCAAGAAAATCTGATTCTTGATTTATTGTGTCAAACAGCTGCTAGTATATAGTGCTGGTCAGCTGTCCAGCTGTGAGGTTCCCATAAGTTAATTTAACACTTGGGTATATTGCAAGGCCAATTAGGATGGTCCCACCAGGTGCCCCAGTGAGTTAAGAACACTTTTCATCGGGGAGGGGGAGGGGTCCAAATGATTTGATAATGCCCAAAGTCCTGTAAGGAATATTTTTCAAGTGTCATGGCAAGTTATTGTGTAAAGCATGTTTATGACAACTTGATATATATATATATGTGTGTGTGTGTGTGTGTGTATCTATATGAATAGTAATGAAGGAAAATCATAAATTCTTAGGAATATATCAGTTTACAGAATATAGTATGTGTTTTTTGGAGCAATCCAAAGCATTTGACTAAAATTGAATTGGATTCTGCCGATCAAAAATACCTCTCTTCCTCTCTCCTCTTCTCCCTCTCTTAGCGCTAATTCTACTGAGATAGGTAGGGTTGGCTAGACCAAGTGTTCTGCATTGACTCCTTTAAATATAAATATATAAGATAAAATCCTGTAGGCCTTTGATTGGCCCCTGTGGTCCTTGATCCCTGGTTTGAGGATCATTGAGTTAAAAGTTCGGCACTGCCATCATGCTAGTTACTCATCAGAACCAGTGAAATCATAAAGGCAATCACAGAAGCTGGCATAGAAAGCTCATAGCTTTGCCCATTTATGAAGTGTGCATATATGTGGTTTACAATTGCATATGTCAATACTTAGGATTATAAAATATGCAAAGAGAATTTTGAATTGTCATATAGGGCTCTCACATACCAAATAATAAGTCCAAAGAATGCTCCAGGGATCTTTAGGCATGGAGTTTGAGAAATACCAAATCAAATCAAATTTCAAAATTGCCAGTCTCAAGATTAAATGGACCCTTTTCAGGATCTGGAGATTCTCTTTGTAAGTCTTAAATTTCATTTCAAGTGATAACAGGTTTATTAAGAGGCAGTATCATATGATGGTTCAGAGCACAGGTTTGGGGGTCAGAAAGTCTTGAATTTGAGTTGCGGCTCTGTCCTTTGCTTTGGGAATGCGTTGGCCAGTGCATATCCTGCCAACTGTCACTCTAAAAATACACTTAATCTACCCATAATCCTCCTTTAAAACTGAGCTCAAACATGTTTCAAAATGAAGCCTTTCTTCAACTCACAGATAAGAGCTAGTCCCTATTATACATACATATATATTCTATATTCAATAATAATAATCATAACAATGATATAATAATGGCTAGCATTTCTAGCAGTTATTATTACCAGGCACTCACCAGGTGCTTTACCTGTGTTACTTCATTCAAATTTCACAACACCCCGATGAGGTGTGTACCATTATTATCCTTTTATAGATGAAGAAACTAGAACAGTGCTGTTCCATAGAAGTATAGTGCATGCCACACATGTAATTTTAAATTTTTTAGTATCCACATTAAAGTAAAAAGAATTCAGTTTAAATATCTTACATAATGCAGTGATTAAAGTGAAATGTAGTCCTGTTAAAAACAATGAAGTTAAGTTTAATGGAGACATTTTTTGCACTGCTTTCATTTTTACATCTTAACTTTAATTAATGAATTTAAAATTTTAAAATTTAGTTACTTAGTCACACTAGCTGTATTTTAACTGCTCGATGATCTCATTTCGCTAGTAGCTACCATACTGGATAGCACAAACCAAGATGCTAAGAAACGGGCCATAGGTCATTCATACATTTACTCAGTAAATATTTACTGAGTAGTTATTCCAAGACAGGTGCTGTTCTAATCTCTGGAGACGCAGCAGTAAACAAAGCAGACAAAAATCACTACCTGGTGAAGTTTCATTACAGTAAGTAAACAATTAACTAAATACTCTTTCAAGAAGCACACAATACTGCAAAGAAGAGCAAAGCAGGAGGAGACCTGGTAAGGGAAAGGGCTACTGTGTACAGCTCTTCAGGCCGTGCTGCCCAGCTCCAAGGGGCACAATTCACACTATGATGTGAACGCACTCCCTGGAGTTCTGCAGAGCAGTAGCCCTGAGAATATGGACTGGAACCTCAAGGAGAGTAATCAGGGAAGGCTCACCAATAATGGAAGATCATTTTAGCAAAGATGTGAAGGTAGTGAGGCTGCAGCCATATGATATTTGGAAGAAGTGTTTTTCAATCAAGAAGAACAATAGCCAGTGCAAAAGTCCTGAGGCAAGAAGGGTGCCTAGCATGTTGGAGGAACAACCAAGGGAGCCAGTGTAGGAACAGCATATTGAACGAGGGGACGTGAAGTAGAAGATGAAGTCAGATGCTAAGTCAGAAGCTGGAACAAGGTCGGGGCTTGCTGGCCGTACTGAGTTCTTCGGCATTTACACTGAGTAAGATACGAATCAATCAATCAGTCTGTCTCTCTGTGTCTCCTTCTCCCTCTCCATCCCTCTCCCTCTCTCATTTGTTAAAAAATAATTTGCCTATCTGCTTTGTTGAGACTACACTGAGAGGAAGTGATAAGTTGCAGGGAACCGATGAGCACACTATTGCAATAATCAAGGTGAAAGATGACAGTTGTTCAGAACAGGGTCACAGCAGGAGAAATGCTGGAGGTTGGAGTCTGAATATATTTTGAAGGTAGAGTCAATAGGTTATGCTGATTTGATGTGAGTTTTTTTTAAAAAAGAGAAGAGCCAAAGATAACTCCAAATAGTTTAACCAGAGTCACTTGTTGAATGGAGTAGCCATTTTCTGACAGGGAGAGAGTTTAGGAAAACAGGGTTTTTACTGGGGGTGAGCCCAAATCCAGACTCATTTCTTGGACAGTTAAAGTTGGAAATGACTGTTAAATAACCAAGTGGAATGTTGAGTCTGAAGTTAAAGTGATATATCAAGGCTGAAGATATGAACCCAGAAATTATCAGTATATAAAATGGTATTTACAGTCACAAGACTGGTGTAGATCACCTAAAGGGCAAGAAGTAAGAAATGCAGAGATGCCGGGGATGGAGGCTCAGGGACACTGACACTTAGGGATACAGATCACAAGGGGAGACCAGCAAAGGATTGTGAAGGACAAACAGGTGAGGCAGAAAACAAGCAAGACGAAGTGCTCTTCCAGAGGTCAAGTGATGAGAGTGTTTAAAGCAGGAGCTTTAAAGGTAGAACTAGATCATCTTTTTCCAGCAGCCACGCTTCACATTGTTCTGCTGTCGGGTTTCCCCCACTAGCATGTAAGAGAAGAGACAACGGTCTGTCTTGTTCACAGGTGCACCCTGCTCCCCCAGCCACTGAACACCGAATCCATATTTAATGAATAAATGAACACTTTTTGTGTAGATCAGGAGACTGAGTCCCAAGGATGTTGGCGATGATTTAGGGACAAGTGGAATTAGACCTCAGATGTACTGGTTGCATAAATATTTTCCAAGTATCACTGACCAGCCTTCCATCTCTCCAGTTTCTTTTGTCTGGCAGACAAGCATCCATCCAAACCAAGGTCTTTTTCACAGGAAGCTCAGTGACCAAGTCCAACTCTTTTGACCCCATACACATGGCCCCTAGTTGTTTTACAAATCTAAACTAGTCGAGGGAAGAACAACGCCGAATTATATTATGCCTGCCTGCTTTGGTATTCGATTTTCATGCCTTTTCTGTTCATTATGATCGCCCTCCTCTTTGTTTTCCCCTAAACATGCATTCAGAAAATAAAGAAATACCATTTATCTTCCTATTTCTTTGCATGGTTTTCTACAGTTTAATATGCTCCCCATAAAATTGATTTAAGAGACGTACTAGCCTTTAAACTGATTGCAAACTACCTACAGCTTCTCTTGCTTTGTTGTTGTTTTCTTTAGTGACGTTCTTACCTTAAATAGGTGAATGGGCAACTATTCCTTTAGCTCTCTCTACATCGAAGGCTAGATCCTCTAGACTTTCCTAAAGCATGAGATCAAATGTTTTCTATTTTTATTTCATAGAGGGAGTTTCCCACATTCTAAAACTAATGCATGTTGATTAAAGGAAATTTGAAACACTCAAAGAAACAGACACACACTCACACACACACATATATGCACATGTTTAGGGGAAAAAAAAGATAGAAGGAAAAAAAGTCAATTATACAATCCAAACATAACATCTTTAAAAATTCTTGGTGTATTTTCTTGCAGGTTGTAGCTCTATACTTGAGTGGGTAAATGTGTGTGTGTGTGTGTGTGAGTGTGCACACACAAATTTGTTTTGAGTCATGCTTTTTCACTTTAAAAAATACACATTTTATTTTACTATGTAGCATTCTTAACTATTGCTTTAATAGCTATAAACTATTCTGGAATGAAAATGTCACTCTCTCCGCCTCTGATGGGCATTTGTTTCCAATTATCCTATCATAAATAATGCTGCACGGAACATTTTTGTTCATAATATAGATTCTATGTTTAGACTGATTTCTAAATCACTCCCCAAAGTAGGATCATTCCCAGATTCCCAAAAGGAGAATCATTCAGTCAGTCAAAAATTGCCAATATTCAAGGCATCTGATACACATTGCTGTTTTTTACAAAAAAATTGTGCCATTTTAAACATCTACCTATAATACATGCTAAAACCGATTTCTTCCCCCACTAGCACTGATTATTATTTAAACTATGGCCTTTTTATTTAAACTATGCTAATTTAACAGGTTTAAAATCACTAAATTTTATTCATTTGCATGCATTTGATTACCTCTAAACTTGAATATTTCCACATACCTGTTAATTCAGTGTATTAATTGTTTTATTCATGGCATTTCTTCACTTATCTGTGGATATTAAAATATTCTTCTTATCAATTTGCCTAACTTTTAATAGAATAAACATTCTGTATTTGTCAAATACTTCTATACAAACGTATTTTTCCAGAATATTGTTTGTTTTCCAGTTGTTTATGGCATGGATTTTAATATAAATTTGAGAAGATCAGTACCCTCTAAAATAAAAATAAATATTTATGGTAGAGCTTTTAGTAAATACAAATAAGCAAGAAGGAAATAAAATTCTCCCATATGCTTATGATAATTATTCATAACATTTGGGGCATTTTCTTTCATCTTTTTCTTATACATTAAGTACTTTTTGCAAAAGTAGTTTCATGTACATTCTGCTGTCCTATATTTTTTCCACTTAGAATGTTAAGAATTTATTTTCATGGCATTAAATATTCTTTATTATCATGTTAATGGTCTCATAATACAGAAAGGCAAAGTTTATTTATCTAGACCACTGTTGCTGCATCTCTTTATTTCTAATATTTCACTGTTGTAAAGTTGCATAGACAGTTTGATGGCTGAATCTTTGGGCACATCCATAATTATTTATTTACGATGAATTTCTAAAAGTGGGTCATAGGTTTAACCAAATTTTAAGGCTGTTGTTCTATATTGCCAAATTGCCCTTCAAAGCTGTGTCTTAAGTTTATGGGATTTATTTTAGCTTAAAGTTGTAAATGTTTACATAGTACTTGAAATAATTTAAAAGGGGCAATTTACCTAGCTATGCATGTGTTGGAAGGGAAAGACAAATATATCTGCAAAATCCCAGGAGCGCACATTTCCAGAGCAGAAAGCTCACAATTTATAAGTCTCCGAGTTAGTTAAATTCATATCTATGGCTTCTTTCCTAAATATACTAGAGAAAATTTAGTTTGGAAGAAACAGCTCTTTGCTTTGTCTACATCAACTTGTCTTTGCTCCCACAAGGCCATATTTTCCAGATCAGTTAAAGATGTGGAGGCAGTGGCCCAGAAGACTAATCATAGTTCTACCAAATGCTTCCGTGTACCAAGTGCTTGCTGACATCCATCCTTTTATTTAATCCCAGAATAGCCTCACTTGGTGGAAGAGCGAACCAAGCCGCAGAATGGTTGAGGGGCTCGTTCTAATTTACACAGAAGAATTTGCAGAACTGATCCCTGTCTCCCTCCAAAAGAGTACATGTTTCACAACTCCGTGTTGCCTCCTCCTGGACTCTAAGACTTCAGCATGGACTTTACTTCTTCCCACCACCGCATCCTACCAACTCACACTTCCATTTACACGTGTATTGAAAATTGACCTTCGAGACTTGAACACAAATCCTGGTTGCAGCCTTTGATCTCTCTCTGCTCTTGTCTATTTTAATTAGCCATTTAAAAATTGTATGTTGCACCCCAACAAAGAATTTCCTATTAATGAGGATTAATCATGTGCATACTATGAAATAATATAAATTAACCTTAGCAGTGGTTGTTTATATGACCTGAGATATGTCTTAATATGCCTTTTCTTCAACATTGAACAGCTTTTCAAACCGGATGGTAGATTATATTGGGAGGGAAAGATATTCAACTCCCATTACCATAGATACTTTAAAATATGTAATTAACCAAAAAAAATATAATTAACAAAGAAGGGTATTGTACTGTGTAGTGAGACCAAAACAAATGAGTCATAAATGTTCAAGTTATTAATGTTTAATAGAAAAAAATTGATGATCTGGGATCAGAAGTCTTTTGAATCTCATCTTGTCCTCTTATTGAAAGATGACTTTGGACAAGTTCCTTCTTATCTCTGAGCTTCAGTATATATGCCCCTAAGATATAATGACAGTTTCTTCACCTGTTTGGAAGGGTTGAAGGCAATACCAAACACAGTAGTCCAAATTGCAAACTGATGTTAAATACTAGCAGAGGAAAAACAGAATCTGAAATGTCAATATAATGGTCACCAACGAATATCAAATGATTTTCCTCCAGTCTTGCATTTCCTGTAGATTATCTGTACACATACCATAACCTTTGACCCATGAGTGCAATCACCCTGAGCTTGTCTCTCCGTCTTGGCTGTACTTCCTTTTCCCATCTGGACTGCACTAGTCTCTTTCTCATCTGACAGCCTATAAAATTCAGCTCAAGAAAGCCATCTCTGTCTCTCTTCCCCAGGTCTGCCACCTAAGGTTAAATGTCCCTTCCACTCTGCTTCCAAAATACTTTGTACATGATTCTAGAGAGTGGTCTCATTGCCCCACATGTTTGTGTACCTATGTAATGAGTAGTGTAACGATTTCTAGACAGAGCTTTTTCTAGCCCACAGATCTGTTTTGCTTTAATTCAAAATAGTGGGGGAGTGGAGAGCACAAAAGCCAAACCAAACCAGACCAACCAAACCCCTGAGATGCCAGAAATCCCTCTGCCTTCCCTCTAGGAGTTTGGCTGTTAGGTTATGGCAGGTGACAGAGTAGATCCAAACCTCAGGGAGTTTCATGTTTACCATGACCCTTAAGTCCCATCATTTCTTCCATTCTTGAGGCTAAAATCCACCAGGACCTTTTTATTGATTACGATTCGCCAGAAGCCCACTGTTCTGTGTCCTAGTGAGGCAGAGACAAACCAAAGGCTGCACAAGAGAGAGTTTCGGGGCCCTTGGGCGAAACCATCATCCTGCAAAGCTGCAGCACCTTCTCTCTGTGTGCAGTTTTAGAATTCAGTGTCTACAGTGCCCAGACAGGTCGTAACAGGTCAGAAAAGTCATGCAAGATGAGATTATCCCCATTTTATACTTAAGGAAACTGAGGCTTGTTGAGATGTAGTATCACGGCCAAGGTTGTAGAGAGCCAATATCTGACTGCAGCTATTCTGGCTCCGAAGCTCCTGCCCTCTCCCCTGTACCAGAGTGCCTCCTACCTGCTGTAGGGGCAGCCTGCCTCCCTGCCTTCACTGATCCCTTGGGACTCAATCTCCCCTAACAAGGGGCACATTGACACAGAATGAGATGAGATGATTTTTTTACCTACG